TTCGATAAGGACTTAACATGGACAATTGCTGATTAAATTGGGCTAGAGTTAATGGATGGCCACAAATATATGATAATTTGAACAATGAATTCCTAAGGCCACCATTACTCTATGCACGTTCCAGTAAACTTTTAATTGTAAAATCTTAATATGGTTATCTCGTATGGTTAATGTATTGTCTTTTCTAAATAAATTATGTTTTCCGATGAGCATTATATTTAAATATTTTATTAAGCGATAAAATATTCTCCTTTAGTAATTAATATGTGATTTTTTTAGATATGAAGAAAGGTACGCGTATGTGAACCTAAATTGGGTTCAGCTTAGCCGATTTAACACCTATTAAGGTGATTCCAATAAGTGGGCTCAGTCGTTTAAGACATATTCTCTATCTTCAAATGCAGGTGGTTAAACTTTTTACAGTTATTGGAGAAAAAAGAATGAAGTACTAAATATGTTCATTCGTTGATGGTTCTCGAATCTATCAATAATAAATTTATATTCAAACAATAAATTAAATTGTAGTAGTAGTAATAGGATCGAATCCACAGAAAATTGAGATTTAATATTCTTTTATAACCAACAATTAAAATAAAATAAAAATAAAAATAGGGGAATTTTTGTTTTTAAACTAAAAATAAACAATTAAACGATTAAGATAAAACATAAAATAAATCAACGGCTTAAATAAAAATTTAATATGAATAAATTTCAGTCAAAAAAAAATTTCATTTTCAATTCAGCTTAAATAAAAATTTAAGATGATTCTTACCATTTTTTAATAAATTGATTCTACTTATTAGAGACGCTCCTAATAATCAATCTTTTTTTAATTTTAAATTAACCAAGAACTCGTTGATTAACTATTGCTAATGAACAACCTTGGAGATGCTTCTAAAGTCAAATTCACTGACAGTACTAAGAACTAGAAAGATCCAATTTTAACCAATAAACTCAATTGCGCAGTTCATTCAAATTAAATTATATATTTTCTTAGTGCAAATACTAATTTACTACTAGTTATCAGAATAAGCTAAATAATTACAGATTTAAGAATCCTGACTGGCAATATACTATTATACTAATTGCATAATGTGCCATGTTATAACATATAACAAATAATAATTTTCGTATGTACAGAAAATATATAAATACTAAAAAATAAAAAAGAGAAAAGATAAATCAATTAGATTTTACAGTCCTTGAATCGAAACTTTAATTAGATATTCAACTGAAAAATAGAGTATTTAGCTGCTCATTTTAAATATTGAACACCAGCAATTGCTTAAAGCCAACAGAGAAAATTTACAAAAAAATTTAAAACTGAGAAAATAAAAATTTATCTGCACTTCCCTCTATAATCCTTCTCTATTTAAAAAACAAAAAAAGGTAATGATTAACTATGATGAAGATAGAGTTCTCATTTGATTTTGATCTTTATCATTCAGCTTTTGAAAATATTATTTTGCCTCAGCTCGTCTCCAGATAAGGATAAGATTTAGCATTCGAATGAGTTCAGATAAAAACAACTTATATATGTTGATGCCATTAAGGTGCAAGCCTTACCCAAGGCTTAATCGTGGACTGATTGATATCTTTGTGTAAAAATCAGCTTAACTATGCTATTTTCTGGAATTAACTCTTATATTTACGCATGCATTAGAATTCAATAAAATTACTTAAGTTATGCAGTAAATGACCTGATTGTGCATTTAAACTAAGTAACAAAAGTGGTATTTATATACATTATCATTCACTATTCAATGGAGGATGATTCAGTTGAGTCTGAAATCTCTGTGTATGGACATAATGGGAACGAGGGAAGTGATAATTTCACCAGTTATGGATTTAAAGATAATTTGTTGGTGAATGTTTTCAACAATTATGCCTCTAGTGGAAATGGTGGCATTGAAACATTTTTCTCTTATATAGAATAAACATTTCTTGCTGATGATAAATTTCACTTCTTGTGCCAAAAATTCGAATCATGTAAAGGTTAATTTTTTTAATTTATGCCAACATTGGTGTAGACAATTTAATTGATTATGGTCAGAGAATTGATAAACCCAAAGTAGGTTTTCAGACCTATGGGTCTCGTACTAGTTTCAAGAGTTACAGTAAAGCTGACATTAATTTTAAGAGGTACAACATCACTTATATTGAATAAATAATTCAAAACTATAAAAATTATAAATTATCAGTTAAGAGTGAAAATTATAAATTAGTCGTTATAAAAAAACTAAAATTTAATAATAGTAAATTAAATAATTATTAAATGGAATAAAGGAATAGTAACAAAGAAGAAAGTTATAAGTAGGGACTGCGTATGTATAAATTATGAATTATTGGGTACAAGTATTCCCTTTTAATTGAATAGACGTTTTATATTTTTTATTCTCCAACAATATTATTAGAACATGTTGTAAATCAAAAGGCTTTAAAAAAAAATGAGGAGGCATACTATTTAAGAGAATTTGACTAGACAGTAACAAAAAGAGGTTGTGACTGAGGTGCAAACAACCACCGCAGTAGAGGAAGAGGCAGAAGTTTAGAGCAAAGACTCTCCATCAATGAATAAAGAGGCAGCAAGAGTGGAGTCCAATGTTATCAATAAAAGAAGTATATATATGTTAAAATAGATTGATGGTATAAGAAAGAGAAAGTTAACTATACAGAGACAAGTAATGAAGAAAGTGAGTTGTTTATGGGTTACTACGATGCTAATGAAGTTGCAAGTGATGTATGATTTATAGATAGTGGATACTCTAACCATATATTATACATGAAAATAATATTTAAAGAGCTTGATGAGACACAAAAAATGATAATTAAGTTTGAAAATAATAAAAACATTCAAGTTGAAGGAAAATATTGAACAAGCAGTAGATATATTCATAAAAATATTTTTAAATTAAAAATATGTTTACTTCATATCACTACTTGGTGTATACAATTTCGAATCAATGGAAAGTATTGAATAAATGATTCAAAATTATGAAAGTCATAAATTATCAGTTAGGAGTGAAAATTATAAATTAACAGTTATAAAAAAAATAAAAAAAAAATAAATTAAATAGCAATAAAATAAAATGAATGACTACATGGTTATATCACTACCTGCATATAAACTATGAATTGTTATGTACAAGTAACTCATTTTAACTAAATAGAAGTTTTATATTTTTTATTCTCCAACAAGCTCTACTGTAACAATGGCGATCAACAATAGGATATTAGTAAAACGGTGGGTGGAGCTAGGCAAGTTCTTTCGAGAATCCATGCTCAAGGAAGGGACTATGATGCAAATGCTAGACATTAAAGATAAAATGCCGAAAAGGTCGTTTTTGCCTCGGAACATTCTCTTAAAAATAACGTTCTCTACCTTGAAACTTAGTGAGTTAAAGCAAATCTTTCATGTAGCTGATAACTCATCCATGGAGAACATCATTATGAATGCATTAAGGGAGTGCGAGATGACCCTAAGTCTTGGTGAGACCAAATGCTATATCAGCTCCGATAAGGATTTCATCGATTTCACCACCTTTATGTTGGGTTGTAACATGGTCCGAATCACACATATTATGAAAGGGTCAAAACAACAAATTTTGATCAGTTTAGTCAAAAGAATCAATGGTGGAAAGGTGACCAAGTCAATGTCATGTCACCAAAGTTTATACTCGTACTTATTGTATTACTGCCACTTTGTTCTCAAAGTTCGGGTTTATAAGGGGAGTATTTTGGATCCGACTACTAAGGAAAAGACCAACCATGGCATAGCCATTTGTCATGTGGATACATCCCAGTGAAGCCCCAGTCATAGAGCTTTCGTGACATTGGGTTTGAGCTCAGGTCTGGGTTATATTGAAGTTGGTCATTGAATCTTTAAAAATAACTTAACTTATACAACTACAACTGATTAAAATGAATTTAAGATATTTGATGAATAAGTGATAATTTGAAGTGTGAATAAAATAACATCTTTCAATTCAAAATTTTAAGCAAGTAATGAATTTCCTTTCATTAAAATAAAATAACAGTGCACACATGCTCCTTAATTATGAAGTGTGATTTTTAAATTAAAAAAAAAGTAATTTGATGTTTTTTTTTGTAAAAATTAAGAATTTGAATTGAATAATGTATTATTCGTGTATCTACTAATAAACTGTATTACAATTAATATGCAAATGTTATTTAAAAAATATTTATGAGAAATATGGAATTTAAAAAGGAGATGATAAAATAAACAAGTATTTATCCACGTGCTTTATATTTATTATTTTTATGTAAAATTTAGAGATGCAAAAGATTGTTACAGATCAGAGTAGGAAGAGACAGATCTGGTCGGCGGAATGAGAGTGGAAGTTTCAAATAATAATTTTGGCCTGCACGTGATCTCCTTTAAATGAACATACATATATACATATATATATATATATGTCATGAAAGCTTATTATTATATTAATAATAGAAAAAGGAAAAAGAAAATAAAATTCTGCCAGCTGGTAGCCTCCTTTTGTTGAACCTGCTGATTGGACCATTTGAATAAACATTTCCCTCCTCTATAAATGGAAATGCTCAAACACACTTCCACACACACGCACACCCCCCCCACTGCCTTCTCCACTAAAAATGGCAATGCTCAAACACCTCACTCCCATCTTCTTCTTCTTCTTCTTCTTCTATCTCTTCTTCATCAATGTAAGTAAATTCTTTCTTTGCCTTTTCTATTTCCCATGATTTCACACTTCACCATCTGCATTCTGATTTTTTACAATTTCAACCATCTCTGATTTTTTTTTTTTTGCCATATTAATGCAGGGAAATCAAGCCCGTTTATTAACTGAGGAAAACCCATTTACCCCCAAGGCTTCGCTCATTCGATACTGGAACAAGCAGATCAGTCTCCATTCCCCTAAATCCTCCTTCCTCCTCTCCAAGGCCTCCCCGTTGTCTGCCCTCGACTCTGCAACTTTTTCTAAGCTTGCAGAGCAAAACCAGCTTTCCACTCAACTCTCAGCATTCTGCTTATCCGCAAACCTCTTTTGCTTCCCCGATTTATCTTCCAGCCTCCATAACCAAATATCCGACTCCAGCTTCATTAACTACACCCAGAAGGACTTCAAAAAGTACGGCGCAGGTCGATCCGGCGGCTTCAACTCCTTCAAGAACTACTCCGATAATGAAATGACTTCAATCGACTCATTCCGCCAATACAGTCGGGGCTCTACAAGACATGGAGATAAATTTTCCAATTATGCTCCAAGCAGCGGCGCACCTGACCAGAGCTTTAAGACCTATGGTTCTAAAGCAACCGGCGGTTCCAGCGAATTCAACAACTACCAACCAGACACAAACCAGCCGAACAGTCGATTCTCCACCTATTCAGACGGATCCAATGGGCGGGTTCAGTCATTCAAGACTTATTCGAATTCTTCCAACGGAGGTGCCCAAATCTTCTCCAATTACGGGAGGAATGGAAAGGAACTGCAGAATATGTTCACCACTTACTCGAGGCACGCCAACGTTGTCGGGTCAGGATTCACTGGTTATGGGAAGAACGGGAACAAGGTAAACGATAATTTCACGAGTTATGGTTTTGACGGTAATTCATTCGTGGAAATTTTCAAAAACTACGCCTCTGATGGAAAAGGTGGCGTTGAAACCTTTTCATCCTACGTAGAAAGACTAATGTTGTGGATAATACATTTACTTCTTATGGCAAGAACTCTAGTAACGTTAATGTTGATTTTAAAACTTATGCCAACACTGGTAGAGACAATTTCATCGGTTATGGTGAGGGATCTGATAAACCCAAAGTAGGGTTTAAGACCTATGGAGACATGACTAATTTCAAGAGTTACAGTAAAACTGGTGTCAGTTTCAAAAGATACAATATCACCCGTGCTCAAATAATGGCGGGGGCTAACGGGAAATTAGTAAAAAGATGGGTAGAGCCGGGGAAATTCTTCCGAGAATCAATGCTCAAGGAAGGTACTGTAATGGAGATGCCGGACATTGAAGATAAAATGCCGAAAAGATCATTTTTGCCTCGGAGCATTCTATCGAAAATACCATTCTCCACCTCTAAACTCAGTGAGTTGAAGCAAATCTTTCATGCGGGTGATAACTCATCCATGGAGAACATCATTATGAACGCATTGAACGAGTGCGAGAGAGCACCAAGCCCTGGCGAGACAAAACGTTGTGTAGGATCCGCTGAGGACCTCATCGATTTCGCCACCTCCGTTCTTGGACACAGCATATCGGTTAGGACCACAGAGAATATAAACGGGTCAAAGAAGAAGATCATGATCGGGTCGGTCAAAGGAATCAACGGTGGAAAGATCACCAAGTCTGTGTCCTGCCACCAGAGTCTGTACCCGTACATGTTGTATTATTGTCATTCTGTTCCCAAAGTTCGGGTCTACGAGGCGCATATTTTGGATCGGAATAGCAAGGAAAAGATCAACCACGGGGTGGCCATCTGTCATTTGGATACATCCCAATGGAGCCCGGGTCATGGAGCTTTTGTGGCATTGGGTTCGGGTCCGGGTCGTATTGAAGTTTGCCATTGGATCTTCGAGAATGACTTAACATGGGCAATTGCTGATTAATTTGGGTTAGAGTTAATGGTATAATTTCAACTATGAATTCCTAAGGCCACCATTGCTATATGCACCTTCCAGCAAACTGTTAACTGTAACATTTTAATATCGTGCTGTTTTTTTTTAAATTTGGTTTGCCCATGAGCAAAAATTTAACATTCTCCCCTTAATAATATTAATTTTAATAATAAAAGTATAGTGAATGTAAACATATCATAATATATGCAAGTTTTGGATACAAAGAAAGGTAGGGTGTATGGGCCTTAATTAGGTCCATCTTGATGGAATATTTTGGGCTCAGTGATAAGAGGTTTGAGAAACAGAAAAATTGTTTTAATGGAAATTTCGCTTATTATTATTATTATTATTATTCCTACTTCTTGAAATAATTAAATGTTAAAATTAATTTCTTAAAATTGTGTAGCTGAGGGATGGGCCATAGGATTATATACACATTATTTTCTTGTATAAATTATTAATTTAGTCCTTCAATTCTATATCATGCGGTAATTTTGATAATTGTAATTTCAAGATAAATTTAAAAATTTGTTTTTACTAAAATCTAAAAGTAATATGCCACGTGATAATAAAAGTTGTAGCAGCTCATGAAGATGATCAATTATTAATCAATTAAGTAGCAGAGCGTGTTGATTTATATATGCATCAGCTCCAAGCCATCATTCATTCCCCAACATCACAAAACACCAGCACGATGAAGATGATCATTAAAGAAGAGAATAAATGAACATACATACATACATACATACATACATACATACATACATTATATGTGTATCAATCATTGCCACCATAGAGATACCGAAGAAATTTATTAAAAAACAAAAAAGGGCATGTGCAAATAGCCACGTTGTCATTACGATTGATTGACATCACAACACTAATTTAAATTGGTAAGCAAGTGGATGCCATAAATTAAAACAAAAAGATATTAAATATTAAAATTTTACAAATAATTGTCACATTATGAATTTTAAGTTTATTATTGAAAAGATTAAGTTCTCTAGAGATCACCTTATTAGTTACACTACCCACCATAGGGTTATCAATAATGAGAAGACAAATCAA